CGTTGTCTGGCAATAACTGATCTTTTGGTTGGTCTCGTTAGCCAGCCTCTCCATGCTATTTATTGGATATCTATAGCTAACGAACACTGGAATCTTTGTAGATACACAAGGGACGCCGCCTACATAACCAGTTATACATTATGTGGAGTATCTTTGGGGACAATCACGGCCATAACCGTTGACAGACTTCTCGCCCTGTTGTTGGGGCTGAGATACAAAACAAATGTAACTTTGAAGCGCACAAGTATTATTTTAGCTGCCGTTTGGGTTTTATCTAGTGTGGCTGCTTTATGCTACATTTCAGATTACCGTATAACCCTATGGTGTGGTTATATCTGTATTCCATCTTATTTGGTGATCTCAATCGCCTCGTTCACAAAGATATTTCGCACCCTCATTCGTCATCAGGCACAAGTACAAGTTCATGTTCAACTACAGTCGATCCAACAAAATTCACTGAACATTCTGCGATACAGAAAAGCGGTGTACAGTGCACTGTGGATACAGTTAGCATTAGCTGTTTGTTATGTACCATACACCATAGTTGTAATCGTGTTTGAGGAGCCCAATAAAGGAACATTTTCATCGCATTTACGTGTCACCAGAGGAATAGTAGCAACTTTAGTTTACTTCAACTCGACATTAAACCCATTTCTTTACTGCTGGAAGATTAATGAAGTGAGACAGGCAATGAAGCTGACAATCAGACAATTAGTTTGTTGTCCATGGAGTTAGATCTGCCTCCATTGAGGCACTATTTTATTTGTTATTTTAGAGCCGGCTGACTTTTGGTTTGTATAAGACAACAGTCACTTAATAAGATAGAAATGAATATGAAAGTAACCACTTCGTTGCTCGAGCCTTCGTTGAAATTTTTTATTTCCAATTGCGTCAATAAGACGGCAAAGAGTAAAGAAAACAGCAGCCATATCTTGAGGAAACTTTGTTGCATGCGACAGTGTTTATTATGATTATAACGACTCCTATTATAAGCTCCTACGATGTAAAAAAATAACAGGACGGTAGTTCGATATTACTCCTTTGGTTTGCTTCCTAAGTGATATGAAATGAACTTCAAAGAACATTAAAGAAGAGCCATTGAAGTTATTTGTTTAATGTTACTCAAATAAAGCACTTACGTTTGCGCCCTATTGCCATACAAGCCGGTCACAACTGAGAAGATGCTTTTAACTACAACACAGAAGTTTTAAGAGAGTATTTGAAACAAAATTGACCATCACTAGGTCTTATTGAGTTCCCTCAGTGGTCGATCGTTTTTCCAAAATTAAATTTAACATATCATCATATTCCTTTGGCTGCCAATGATTTTTGCGTGAAAAGCAGGGTTTTATCTTTCACTGTGGAAATATAAAACTGACAGATGTCTGCATGTTTCACTATTAATGCAAATTTATTTCTAAATTAAACTTCACTGACTTGAGGAAAAGAGCCAGAATGAGATGCCACAGAATTAACATATGCCAAGTAACGCTTTCCGTCTATTTAGTGATATAAACGAGTTATACTAAATCTTAACTTTTTATCGGATACATCCAGAGAGTATTTTTAATTTCATAAATGACTCGCAACAAAAAATTACTTGATATGTTTTTATCAACCAGACATCTGGAAGAAACTAATATCAGAGAGTCCATTAGGCCATCACTTGTTTCTGATAAA